GGTTTCTCTTTGTAGCCCTGACTGGTTCTCACTCTGTAGACCAGGCTGATCTCAAAATTACAGAGGTCTGCCTGCATCTGCCTCCAGAGTGTGCTGGGGTTAAAGGAATGCCAGCCACCACTCAGCAGGTTTTGTTTTTGAGACAGGAGAATCTCATTACATATCCCCGCTGGTTTGGAGCTCCTATGTAGATCAGATTGGCCTCAACTCTCAGAGGTCCACCTATCTCTGACTCTCACATGCTGGGATTAAAGCTGTGTGCCACCATGCCCAGCATTTTTTTTCTTTTTAAATTTGTTTTAAAATATTCATTCAAGTTAGTATGAGAATATGTGTCTCTGTATGCGTCCACATACTTAATGCACACGTGTTTGCATAAGAGAGTGTGCATTCCCTAGGATGTATATGAAGATCAGTCAACAATTTTTTAAGAGTCATTTCTCTCTCTCTCTTCCCAGGCCTTCAGGGATTCTGCTAACTTTACCCGTTTGACTCTGCTTATACCCAGATATCTGTGAAAGTGGTTTCATTTTTTATGGTAGATTTAGACAGGATTTTTTTTTTGACAGATTCTTGGTCTTCACTTATTTCTGTAGATACTGCAATAATTAGATTATTATCCCTAATCCATTTATGTTCTTTTTTCCGCCCTTTTCAATTTTCTGACATTCTTATCCCCCATTTTTTCCTATGTATATACAATGTACACCATATTTCTCTTTTTGCCTACATTGATACAAATATTTTCTCAAAGCCTTGTCTTATAAGTTTATCAAATAATGGACCAATGAAACTCAGAAATTCTAGAGGCAGGCGGATCTCTGTGAGTTTGAGGCCAGGCTGGACCGACAGCCTCCAAAACAATACAGAGAAACCCTGTCTCGAAAAACAAAACAAAACAAAAAATAGTGAAACTCAGAAATTCTATAATTAAGATGACTTTCAAGGCTTCTTCACATACCCCAAGTTTATTTTTAGTTCCTATATCCCTCTGTGTATCAGTTTATGATGCCTGTGTTTCCTCTGTTGCCTCTCTACATGAGTGTCTTTATTACCAGCAAGCATTAAGAATTGACTCCTAAGAATCACCATACCTTTAATGTTAAAAAGCCCAGTTTAAGCATATCTTCTCTGCTTTGTGTGTAACTACTGCTTTAATTAAGTGTATGTATTTTCTAAACAGGGTTAAGTGCTGAAACCACAGCAATGTTTCTAATTGAAGATTCTATGAACTGAAGAATTTCATCTATAATTTTTGTTTATTTCATTATATCTTTGTTCTAAATTGAAATGAGAAATGATGGAAACTTACGTGTGTGTGTGTGTGTGTGTGTATCTTCTTTTTGAAACAGTATCAGATTTTCTTGAACTTAAATCCATATGAACACCTTGTTCTGTGAGGAATGAAGTGTTTACACATCTTTACTGGCAAATCTTACCTCACTACAAGTGAGCTGAGATAATGTTTCTCCCAAGCTAGCTACAACAACGAAGTTGTAACTCCACTTAGAAAATGATTATGAGTTAGAAGAATAACAACAAAAAATTGAGGATGCAGAAAACGGCTTTATCCTTTGTACATATGATACTGTTGGTGTGGTTCAGTTCTTCACCCCGTTCCTAGCGAAGGTAAGGTGGAGTTAGTTCATTAAAAAGATTCATTTCAGGTGCCTTTTTCTTCCTGTCATGCAAGGACTTTCCTGACCTTAGTATACTTGTTTTTGAAGGACATCTTAATTGTATTCATTTTACATTTAAGGTCAATAATTAATAGTTTCAGCTCCTTAATTGGGTGTGTCTGTTCTACTTAAATTTTTATTTTTATTTTATTTATTTTTGTTTTTGATTTGTTTTTCGAGACAGGGACTCTCTGTATTGTTTTGGAGGCTGTCCTGGAACTCGCTCTGTAGATCAGGCTGGCCTCGAACTCACAGAGATCCACCTGCCTCTGCCTCCCTAGTGCCAGGATTAAAGGCATGCGCCACCAACTCCCAGCTCTTAAATTTTTATTTTAAAGTTGATCTTTTCTTAAATGTGATTTTGTAGCTCAGTGAAGCACAAACCTGTGATTCTGTTAGTGACATTCTCTCATGAAGAAAAAGATAGCATGACCAATATTAGCCACTAGCATTATTAGCCACACTGAATTCTGTAAGGTGGCATTACAAATTTTACTGTCCCATTGTGGAACTTAACACAGTCCTATGATTTAGGTGCTTTGAATAAGCCAGGGTTAGGCATGTTTATTTGCCTTGATCCTGATCCTTCATTTGCTAAAGACTGAAGAGTCACACCCAGGTTACTTTTCTCCATGGTCCATGTACATAACTCCACACTGCACTCTACTTCGCATTTCATTTTGTCTTATGTTTAGAAATACAGATGTGTTGGGTTCTCTCCTGGAATAGACATGTTAGTTCTCTCTGGACATCTTTAACAGGTTATGTTGTCTTGCTCAAAAGTTAAAACAATGCTTTCTAGTCTCAAATCTATTTACTTTACATCCTTGAGCAGTGTTTTTCCAGGTATTCTCATCCTCTTACTGTTCCTATAGACTGTCTTTGAACATATCTTAGGGATACAACCTTATTCTCTAAATATGCAATATTGTTAAGAACAGCACTACTCAGGCTGAAGAGATGGCTCAGAGGTTAAGAGCACGGGCTACTCTTCCAGAGAACCCAGGTTCAACTTCCAGCACCCACATGGTGACTCACAACCATCTACAATAATGAGATCTGGTGCCCTCTTCTGGCATGCAGGAGAACATTGTATACATAATAAATAATCTTTTAAAAAAAAGCAGCTCTACTTTGTATGAACAGGGGATTCGACACACTTTTAAAAATGAAGGCCTTCCTGAATTTTTACTCCAGTCTTCTATTAAATTCTAAGAATAGACTGCTGGCCTCCATTACTTTCAGAAAATGAAAAATGGCTCAGAAGCTAAGTGAGCTAAGCCATCTCTTTCTCAATTGTTTCAGTTTCTCAGGAATTGCTGTACAATGCTGCCAATAATGATCTCCGGGGATCTGACCCCCATTCCACCCCCACTGCCTCCTCAGCAGCTCCAGATGCCACCAAAAGAAGGAGCTGAAGAAAGTGCCTGTACCCTCTTTTACCCTGAGGTGGGTAAGGCCAGGCAGGGTGATTCTCAGGATATCCTGATGATCAAAGGTATAGTTAAAGCCTTCATGAAGATTGTCTTGAAGATTACCAAGAAATTTGGGGAAAGTTACCAAATAGCCTAGAAACTGAAGATTGAGCTCAAGAACAGACAGCACCAATTTCATCTGAAATGTAGTACACGATGACATGTGTAACCTTAACTACGCTCTCTGAGGACCAACTAGTGTGCTCTTCTTTGTGTCTTTCCTGCCACCTCCACAGGCTGGCCAAGCGCCAGGCATGTGAAAACTAATGAAAGTGCTCTTCCACTCCCTTTATTTCCTGGCACTTAATCTACATTGCTTGCCCATTCATCAGGAATGTTGATGGAGCTTAGGGATGTCTTCTTGGCCAATGTTGGCTTCTGTCTTGCTACATGTCTGGGTAGGAAGAATATATCTTCATTGATGCCCTGGTTTTTTTTACTTCCTTTTTATCATACCATTTAACTCTGTAGTAGCATATCTGAGCCACACATCACAGGGATTTCCTGTACTGGAGTTTTCAAAATCCCTTTTTATAGCTCTTTGGAATTCAAGACTAAACAGTCTTTATTCTTGAGTAGATCTTACATCAGCCATCACTGTTTTGGAAGTGGGTGCGCTATGAATTTTCCCAGTATCTGACTTCTCATTCTTGAATAGTGAGCCATACATCTTATCTGCTCAGTACTGTCAGTAGCCTACAAAAAGAATAATTGCAGTAGTGTGACTTAAGAAACTCTATAAAACAGTTCATACTTTTTCTCCTAGAGAAAGGGAAATCATAACAACTTAGTTCCATTCATTTCTTCTGTTCCTGTGTTTCATAGATTAAATCCTGTCTTCATTTGAGATTTAATCCTAGAAGCAGTTTCAGATAGTCTCCTCTTCAAGCCTCTGGTTTCTTTTGTGCCTCCAATTATATGTTGAAGCTTTTTTTCAAATAAAAAAGTGAGTTATTTAGAGTGCTTCTAATTCTTTGAGCAAATACAAAATTAATGTATGTATTTTCAACTGTTGGCATTTTAGGTTATTATGAAAGTATTAGAAGCAGGGTTTTTTTTTTTTGGAAAATAATCTTTTCTGAACATCATTGTTTTCTCCTGAGCGAGAGATGTACTAAATTATGCTGCTTCACTTTGGGGTTTTGCTAAAATTAGAAGACTTTTTGAATGGGCTTTCTATTTTTTTGACATTTTATACCTTTAAACTAAGTAACTTTAAGTGTATATACCATTAAAGATGTATTTCACAAATAAATTTATAACCAGTTCTTTCAGAATGTGAAAATTACTTTATGAACTGGATAAGATGATGGACTTCACTTGGTGTGGTAACTTAGGTCTTTAATCCCAGCACACAGGAGGCTGGGGTGGGTGGATCTCTGAGTGTTTCAGGACAGCTTGGTCTACAGAGCCAGTTTCAGGACAGCTAGGTCTCAAAAATCAAAAAAGAAAGAAAGGAAGGAAGGAAGAAAAGTTTTGTCTGTTGGCTTAAATGATAAGTTTTAATAAAAAATAAGGGACAGGTTAGATTATCAAATTTTTATCAGTAAATATTTGATAGGATGGTACATAAAACTAAATGATAATTTTTATCCTACCATTAAAATTAGTTTTCTTTCTCTCTGCTAATATACAAATTACATGAGACCTGGGAAATTCTGTCAACAACATCAGGCGTGGTTTATTCTCTCCTTATTTTCTTCTTCTTGTGAGCTACTCATCATATTGTTACAGGGAATGGCAGTGACAGCAGCTAAAATTCACTGTTCTATCATAGCATGGTCTAACAAACACTTCATGTAGTCTTGAATTGTCCTATGATTTCTTTCATTTTCTTTTTTCCCAGGTTCCCAGTCAACTTCAGATAAACCTCCTCAGCGATCATCAGAAAGCACAAATTGTAGCCCTACCCATAAAAGGTCTTCGTCTGAGAGTACTTCTTCAACAGGTAAGTGCTGTTTTTTACTACATTTTCAGGATACTTTCCTGTCTGCTACTTGAGACTAGCAAATCTATGCAAAGGAAACAGAAGTGGCCTTGTCATCTCAGTATTACTGATAATGTACATTGGAAAAATTCAGTAGTTTTATTTTTAAGAAATTAGAATGTGAAAGTACTGGAACAATAGCTCAGCAGTTATGAATATGTACTGTATTGCAGAGGACCCATGTTTCCATCCTAGCACCAGGGGACCTGACACCACTGACCTCCACAGGGATCTGTACATGTGCACATACACAACAGACATAACACACACATACAGTTTTTAAAATGGAAATGATGTTAAAGAGGATATTATGTAACAGTGTGGCTTGAAGCCCTTAAATAAATTGTTGTTATTGGATGTATTGGCACATGCCTATAATCTTAGCAGTTGGGAGGTAGAAGCAGGATTAGGAGTTCAAAGTCATCCATGAAATACTTAAAAATAAATCTCTCTAATATACCCATTAAGAGTTTAATTAAAAAAAAATTAAAGTAAGCTGGTGATCCCAGTGCTGGAGAGACTGAGGCAAGAGATATTGCTTTAATTTGGGACCAGCTTGGGCTACATAGCAAGCCCCTGTCTCAAAAATATATATGATAATAATTATAATGTGCAAAAATGTAGCTCAGTTGATAGGGTGCTTTCCTAGCATGTGTGTAGCCGTTGGTTCCTTCCCCAACTCTGCACTTTATATAGAATATACCTAGGTTACATAAGATAGTATCAAAAGAATAATCAGAAAGCAGTTTTAAAAAGTATATATCATTGTTTAAAAGACTCTTAACCATCAGAAATGACAGTTTATATGTGTAATATGGTCTTCATAAATTCATTTGAAATGACAGGCTGATTCTAAAATGTATTTAATTTTATTTTTAAAATCTAGAGTGAGGATTTCAGAATTGATTAACTCAAGGCTTTTATCCACAATACACATGTATAGAATATACATTGTTGAGTTTTTATGTATTACTTATGTGTGGGTGCTTGGATCTGGTTTATTCATGTCAGATTGCATTTGTGGAGGTCAGAGAACAACTTTCCCAGAGTTGGTTCTGTCCTTTGCCATGTGGAACCGTCAGATTGAACACATTGAACATAAGGTTGTCAGGTTTGGCCTCAAGTGTTTTTACCTGCTGAACCACCTCACAGGTCCTAATCCTAAATTTTATATAGTACCCAGGAGATGTGGTGGGCTCATGCCTATACACCAGTACTTGGGAGCAAGGGGTTTGCCAGGAATTCAAAATTATCCTGAAACACAGACTGAGACGTCATCGTGAAAAGCATAAAAAGGAGCTAGGTAGTGGTGGCACAGGCATTTAATCACAGCCTGGTCTAGAGAGTGAGTTCCAAGACAGGCTCCAAAACTACACAGAGAAATGCTGTCTCAAAAAAAACAACAAAAAAAAGTGAAATGCCAAAACAGTTTCATTCTTTCAGAAACAAAATTTGAAGGCTTCCACATGGCTTATTGTAACCTGGGGAGATGGCTTAGTGTGCAAAGTGCCTGGTGCATGAGTACAGGGACCTTAGTTGGCTCTCCAACGCCTGCAGAAAAGCTATGTATAACAAATGTGTCTGTGACTCCAGTGCTGTGGAGACAGGTGGGACCTGGAACTTAGTATCACAGTCAGTTTAGCCAAATTGATGAGTTCCAGATTCAGTTTCAAAAATACAGTGGATACTGAGGAAGATACTCAGCATTTAACTCTAGCTCCTTCAAACATATATATGTATTGGCGCCTGCATGGAAATATGCACACACCTACACAATTGTACATACCCACAAAAAGACAGTGTAATTGTTATAATTTTTTTTTAAACGTGGCTTGAGTGACAGAGCTCACGTGGAGGGGTTTTTTTATTAGGGGAAAGTGAATGTGAAAGAGGTGAGGGGAGAGGGAGACCAGCCTCTGGGAACATGAGCAGCGGAAGAGAAAAGAGGCAGAGGGGGGGCGGCAGACAAAGATGGGAAGTGGGCAGGGCCCTTTTAAAAGGGAACGTAGTGAATGTGCACAGGAGGTGCTCTTAGTGGCTGCAGCTGAGGACATATCCTGTCAGAACCCTAAGAGCAGTCTAGTACAGATGCCTGAATACCAACAGTGATATTAGTAAAAGAATAGACAAATTTTTACCAGAGGTAAGGTCAGAGCCAGGGCCTGAACCTCAGAGTCCTAACAAGTCAGTCTTGACCACCTGTCTGCAAAAGGCCAATTAGACAATAGAGAAAAGCAGTAATGGGATATTTATCCTGTGTGCCTATACTTATGAGAGGTACAAAGAGGTACATTGACCTCCCTCCTCTTAGTCTATCATCGGAGTCCAAACATGAGGTTTAGGTTTAAATAGATGATGAGCAATATGCATAAAAATAGTCCTGAGGCTAGGCAGATGACTCAGTGGTTAAGAGTACTTGTTCTTCTTGCAGAGAACCTGAGTTTGATTCCCAGCACCCCTGTGGCACTTCACCATAACTGCAACTGACCAGAAGGCACAAGATTCAGATAAACATACAAGTAAAACACAGACGTAAAATAAATAAACCTTAAAAATTGTTTTTAAGGCAGGCAATGGTGGTGCACACCTTTAATTCCAGCACTTGAGAGGCAGAGGCATACAGATCTCTGTGAGTTCAAGGCCAGCCTGGTCTACAGAGCAAGTTCCAGAACAGCCACAGCTACACAGTGGAACACTGTCTCAAAAAAAAAAAAAAAAGAAAGCAGTCCTTTAGGCTCCAAGCTTCAGTAAGTGTCAGTGTTGATGAAAATTTTCCTGAAGACAAATTCCTCCTCTCACTGACCCAAGGGCCCTAGCCATTTCCTTCTTCTGACACCAGATCTCAGTAAGGGAACTGTCTGATGGCCAAGGTTGATGGCCAAGGTAGCCAAGTGCACAGCACAAGTTTCTCACGCTTTGTGATTGAGAGTGTCCCCTAAGGGCTCATCTACTTGAGTGTTTAGTTCCCAGTTGTTGGAACTATTTGGTAAGGGTTAGGAGGTGTGGTCTTGTTGTAGGAAGTGTGTCACTAGGGATGGGCTTTTAGGGTTCAGAAGCCCACACCAGGGAGATAGAGGCAGCCAGGTCTACATAGTGAAACTGTATCTCTAAGAAAAGAGTATTCATTCCTGTCAGGATTATAAATACATAGTATTGTTTAGTGGAACACAAAGTCTGTAAATAGGGCCTTTGAGTTTGTCTTGTAAATAAAGGTATATGTCTCCAAGCTTGATGATCTGAATCACAATAAATATAATTAAAAAAAAAAACTTTAAAAGACCAGAAATAGTTCCTCTCTGTAGCTTTGGAGCCTATCCTGGAACTCACTCTGTAAATCAGGCTGGCTTTGAACTCAGAGGTTCACCTGCCTCTGCCTCCTGAGTGCTAGGATTAAAGACACACACCACCAATGCCCAGCTACTTTAAATATATTTTTACTGTGTTTATTTCATGTGTTTGCATAGCAAGAGCACAGGACAGAGGTCAAAGGGCTTTGTGGGTGCCAGGGATGAAGTGCTTTTACCCACTGAGCCATCTGGATGGCCCTATACTTGCCTTTTCATTCATTTGGGGCGGGTGTTGTTTGTTGTTAGGAATGGGTTGGTTAGTTGTTTGTCTAGGCTGGCCTAGAATCATTGTGTAACTCAGCCTGAGGTAGAAATCAAAGAAACCCTGTCTCAGAAGCACTGTGGTTGGCAGTGTGAGCCACCATTCCTGCCCTTTCAGCTCATCCTTCTCAACCATGGCTCTAACAGTTACGATGATAGTCCTTTTAACTAAAGACAACAGCTAGCTGGCTTTATGGAGAGACGACATTCATTGTAGCCCATGGAAATTTTAACTTGAAATAGGTTTCAGTGAACTTTCTAAAGCCATAAAACTTGACCACATAGGTGAAAATCTTCATGACAAAGATTCCTGAGCCAGGTTTGGGGCTCAGTTACTTACCACCCTGGAGGCTAAGTAAGGGGATCACTGTGAGGTTAAGACCTCCCTAGAATACATGGAGAGGTCCAATCCTTTGCATGGCATTATGACATATGCCTATAATCCCAGCAGTTGAGACAGGAGGATCAATAATTCAAGGTCAGCCTCAACTGTATAATGTTTTAATTTAGAGCTAGCCTTTACTACATGAGTCCCTATCTCAAAAAAGAAAAAGAAAAAAAACATTATTTTAGTGGGTCATGGATATAATTCATGTCGAAATTTCAGTTCTTGTGGCTGGGCTTTTGCTTTCTGATACTGCAGAGACTGATATGTGCCTTACCTACACAAGACCTTCAGCTTAAGCCTGAGTAGTTGGGGGAAAATAATGAAGGGAATATCATTCTGGAGATATGGCTCAATGGTTAAGAACACTGGCTGCTCTTGGGTCCTGAGTTCAATTTCCAGCAACCACGTGGTGACTCACAACCATCTGTAACGAGTTCTGGTGCCCTCTTTTTACCTACAGGCAGAACTCAGCATACAGAATAAATAAATCTTATATTTAAAAAAAAAGTAACATTTGTTGTTGAGTAAGGCTGTTATTGCTACCACTAGAGAGGTTGAGGCAGACAGTTCTATCAGTTGGGAGGTAGATGCAGGAGATCAAGGCCAGCCTGGGCTACATGAGACCTTAAAAACAAGTAACTGAGTCTTAGGAAGCTGAGAGACAGTCAGCAAAAAAAAGTACAAGCTAGCCAAAGCAAGAGGAGAACAAAACAAAAGTAAAGCTGGTTGACAGGTAAGAGCAAAGTGAGCTGGCCTTTGATCCAAAACTCAGAAGGAAGAAGCAGGTGAATCTCTGTCAGTTAATGGACAGCTTGGGTTATTACAATTTATAAACAAGAAAAGATAAAGATTTGCATATGAAAAAGGAAAATAAGGAAGAGCAAGATAGTTCCCTGGATAAAAGCACATGCCACCAAGCTTAACAACTTAAAGTGTGATCTCAGACCTCACATTGATAAAGAGAAAACCAACTCCTGTAAGTTGTCCTCTGACCTCTACATATATGGTGCAAATTCCCCCCCCCCACGCTCCCCTCTCACACACACACAGTAAATTTTATACGCCATAATTTCCTGTTTTTATTCAATCAATCAATTTGTTTTGTTTTTGTTTTATGAGATTTTACAGTGTGCATTCTGGGTTAGGGTCAGAATCTGCTCTAATATCCTAAAAAAGCTAACCCCCCACCCCCATCAGCCCTCAATAAGTCAATTAAAGGCACAGTATTGGAGAGCAGAAAAGGGAAGTTTATTCAATATGGCCCATTGGATAGAGAAACAGAGATCCAGTTATATACCTTATCCCTCCCCCACATTGTTCATTTTGAAGATTTTAACATGAAGCTACTGGGAATGTCACTTCCTGATGAGATAGATGTTTCTATAATTCCTAGTACTTAATAGGGAAATACCTGGAATTGGGCTTTCAAAAAGAAAGACAAAGTTAGCTCTTTATCCAGTCTCTAACTGTATAGCCTTTAACACTTCTTTTTTATCAGTATAGGAAGTTATTTAGCAAGACATGGTGGTACACCTGAGCACTTTGGAGACAAAGACATGAGGATTAGGAATTCAAGATAATCATCTAATGGAGCAACCTCAGAAGTAGTAGATTCAAGGCCATCCTGAACTACAGAAGACCCATTTTAAAATCAAAGAAGGTGCGGGAAATGGCTTAGTTAAGAGCTTTTACCGCTCTCCAGAATACCTGGGTTCATTCCCCAGCACCCATTCCCAGTAGCTCACCAGTTTCAGAGGGTCTGACTCCCTCTTCTGGCCTCTGTGGCTCCTGTGTATACATGCCATACATGCACATCTACATAAATTAAAGATTTAACTAATGAAGTTAAAAGCTTGATTACCTAGTACACAGAAGCCGGAGGCAGGGAGGGTCAATCACCATACCCTCAAGACCAGCCTGATTTGCCTGCAGATTTCTAAGCCCACAAAGACTGCATAGCACACTCTTGTCTCAAAAGGCTGAGAAACAAGCATAGAAAGACAAAGCAATTTAGATGACTCAGTGATCTTTTTTTTCTGTCTGTGTGTACTGTGTTGTCTCTTTTAGTGAATGGAATTGCCTCCAGAAGTCCCAGATTGGTTGCTTCTATGGATGATTCTGTAGACAGTCTGTTGCAGCGGATAGTACAACATGATGAGCAAGAGTCCATGGAGAAAAATACTGATGCATCAATTACAACTGTGTCTATACCACCTTCCTCCAGTCCAGGCCATAACTATAGCAAAGAGCGAGTCCTAGGTAAATCAGATAGTCTTCTGGTGCCTGCAGTCCCAAGTGACTCTTGTAATAATAATATCCCACTCCTTTCTGAAAAGTTAGCAAGTAGATGTTCCCCCCATCATATCAAGAGAAGTGTAGTTGAAGCTATGCAGCGCCAAGCTCGGAAAATGTGCAATTATGACAAAATCTTGGCCACCAAGAAAAACCTGGACCACGTCAATAAAATTTTAAAAGCCAAAAAACTTCAAAGGCAGGCCAGGACAGGGAACAATTTTGTGAAACGAAGACCCGGTCGACCTCGGAAATGTCCCCTCCAAGCTGTGGTATCAATGCAAGCATTCCAGGCCGCCCAGTTTGTCAACCCAGAGCTGAATGAAGGGGAAGAAGTGGCGCTGCACCTGGGTCCAGACACAGTTACCGACGTGATTGAGGCTGTTGTTCAGAGTGTTAACCTGAACTCGGAACACAAGAAGGGGCTGAAGAGGAAAAGTTGGCTGTTAGAAGAACAGACTAGGAAAAAGCAGAAGACAGTACCAGAGGAAGAAGAACAAGAAAACAATAAAAGGTAACTTCTTTCTTTGTTTTGTTTGTTTTTGGTAATTTCTTTCTTAAGATATTATGGTCAACGGGGGGGGGGGGGCACGGGAGGAAGGGAGGGAATGGGAGAGGGACCTGGAACTGACTTGTGAAGCAACCTTGATTCTTATCTAAATTTAAACTGGAAAATAAAATTTTAAAAAAAAATGTAAAAAAAAAAAAAAAGTTAGGCATGGTCTCTTCAGACACCATGGCATCCTCACCAAATACCAAACTCCTGAAATTTGAGTCTTTAAAGAAAAAGAAGTGTTTCACTCTCTAATGTTTTCTTGGCATTTTGTTTTCCACAATAATGATTTTACACTATTTGCTGAAAATGTTAGGAGTTATTCACTGCCTCCCATTGTAATCCCCAAAGAGGAGAGAAAAATTATGGAATGAAAAAAAAAAAGATATTATGGTCTATAGCAAGCCTGAAAGATATTCTAATCATTTTTACAGTGTAAAAAATTAGAGATTGTGTATGAGAGCCTGTGTAGTTATTTTATCCATTATCTTTGATTAATACTTTCAAATATTATTTAGTAAATGCTACTTCCAGTTAATTGCCTGTGACCCTACTGAATTTTAAAGGACCAAGAAACTTTTTAACAAGTTTTACATCTTACTATTTAAACAGTTAAGTGTCTGCTTGGGAATGTTCGGGGGATATTATGTTTATGTATTTTGTGTGTGTTGCATGCATGCTATGGCAAGGTTGGGGCAACCCCAAGGACAATCTGTGAGGAGGTCTCTCCCACCATGTGAGTTCCAGGCATCAAACTTTCAGGAGCATCTTCACTATCCCCAACCCCAGCCTAAGTCCAAGCTGTTACTATATCCGTATAACTAATTCTTGAGGCTTGCTTTCTGCTGTGTAAGAATGGTTTTGGTGAAGTGTTTATGCACGCCAAGGATCCAGGCCAAAGAACAATCTGGAGTTTTAAGGTTAATCTGAGTATGCTAATATTGAATTGTAGGCTAGAGCCTTTCTTAAAGCACTAGGTGGCCAAAATCTCCCTGTCCTCCCCTTTGGCTAACCCCCTAAAAACTAACATGCTTTCTGTTTTGTGATTTTTGGCTACTCTTAATGAAATCACATAGTTTTTGTTTTTGTTTTGTTGTTGTTTTGGTGACTGGTTTATTTCACTGACTATAGTGTCCTTAAAGGGAGTTGTAGCCTCCATGAGACTCTTAGGTCTGTTAGGGCCTGAGCATGATCAGAAAAGCACTTACGTAAAGAGATCTTACTGATGTATCAAGGACCACCAAGCTCACTCAAAATACCCATCAAAAACCTCACAATGAATTTAATGACATTCTAGATCATAGGCGTTTGCCTTTAGTTTTTGTAGTTGTTTGTTTGTTTGCTTGCTTGTATTTTATTTTCTTCGAGACAGGGTTTCTTTGTAGCTTTGGCAGGCCTCAAATGCACAGAAATCTGCCTGACTCTGCCTCCCGAAGTTTTGTGTTTTTGTTAGCTTGTTTTGTTGTCAGAGCCCCGGGGAATTGCTGGGGTTGACTTTGACCTTGCTCTTATAAGCTAGACAGGCCTTGAATTCACCTTAGCTTCCAGCGTGTGTTTCCTTTCTGTTTGTTTTGGGATGGTGGGTATTCATACATGCTCTACTGTGTAACAACTCCAGCTCTGACATGCTTGTGTCTGAGAAGCTCCAGACACAGTTTTGATGCAGATGCTCCATGAGCAGCATTTAAAGCATTGCTGGTATGAAGAACTGACATGTGTGACAGAATGTCTGTAAGCATTTGTTTTTTGGCAGGAGAATGAAATATAATCTCAAAAACAGGAGTAGAAACATTTGGCTGGGAAGGATAGCCCCGAAAAAAAATCCTCCTAACAGTAAGATATAACCCATATAGGGCTATTTGACAACTTATTTAACATTTGAAATAAATGTTTGGCTAAAGAAAAATGTATTATCATATTAATAGAGAAAGGAAAATGAGGAGAGTTCATGGTTAAAGAGCACATGCTAATTTGCTGAGGACCCCAAATTCAGTTCCCAGCAAACAAGCCAGCTAACTGCACTGCCTGTTACTCAAGCTCTGGGGGATCCAGTGCTTCTCATATGATCGTATGCATTCACATTTATTAAAAGTAAATCATTTTTTAATGAAGAATAAACAAAAGTTTAAATTATTTAAAAAAATAAATACAGCAAAGCTGGAAATGGTGAACTAACCCTGTAATCCCAGCACTGAGACAGGAAACATTCTTAGTTCCAGGGCAGCCTGGGCAATAGGAGGAGACCTTGCCTTAAAAAAAAAATTCTAGCTGGGTGGTAGTTGTATGCCTTTAATCTCACCACTCGGGAGACAGAGGCAGGTAAATTTCTGTGAGTTCAAAGCCTGCCTGGTCTGCAAATCAAATGTCAGGACAGACTTCCAAGCTACACAGACAAACCCTATCTCTTTTTTTCTTTTTGGTTTTTTTCAAGACAGTGTTTCTGTAACTTTGTAGTCCACACTGGCCTCTGCCTCCCTGTAAAGGGAAGCCTTTTCCTTGAGAGAAGCCTTCCCGCCAGCCTGGTTCCAGAGCCGCATCAGTCCCAAATAAACACACAGGAGGCTATATTAATTATGAAGCTGTTGGCCTTGCTTGTTTCTTACTGGCTAGCTCTGACTTAAGTAATTACTCCATAATTGTTAATCTAAGTATTTCTCTTACCGGAGAATAGTTTTGGGCTTCCTACCCCATGGCGTTACATCTTGACTCTCTGTGTTTCTCCTTCCCAGAGTTCTCCTGGCCTCCTAGTCCCACCTATCTTGGTTCCCTATTGGCCCAACAGTGCTTTATTGACATATACATAGGACTTCCCCTATCACTTCCCGAGTACTGGTGCTGGGATTAAAGGCATGCACTACCACCACTCGGCTACAAACCCTGTCTCAAACAACCCACCCCCCAAAAAATTTGTGACTAAGGACATTGCTTATGGGTTAACATGCTTACCATGTAATCAGAATTCAGATCCCCCGAAACCCATGTGAATGTGGGTAGACATGGCAGCCCACCTGTAATTCCAGTCTGAGGACAAGTGATCCTCAGGTCAAGCTGGGTAGGTATACTTTCCATTTTTATAATGGTCTTGGTTAGATTGAGAGACCCTGCTTTATTGAGAAAGGTAGAAAAGCTATTGAAGATGATTTCCCTTATCAACTTCAGGAAACTATACATTTGCATACACACACCCATACTCACAAAAAATAACATACATGTATACATACACTGTACACGAACAAACCTGAAAAATGGAAGGTGGCTCAGTAGTTAAGAACCGTGGCTGTTCATGCACAGGACCCAAATTTGATTCCTATCACCCACATGGTGGTCACAGCTATCTGCATCTCTAGTTTGGGACGGTGAGTCAAGCTTATCTTGAGTTCTAGACGAGCCTTAGTTACATAGTCTTGAGACCCTGTCTTATCAAAACAAGGTCCTGGGTTTAGTTATTCACACTGCAGGTGAGGGGGAGGAATGACAGCCCCATTTGTTAGAAAAGGGATTGCCTTGCTAATCAGAGAACTGGATAATCCACATGTAAAATAAAAGTAGTTGGACCTTTTTGCCCAACAACTTAATCATGGGGTCAAAATTATAATGTACATAGGCAAAAAAGATAGGGGAAATTCTTCATGACATTGAATTTTGCAATGATTTTATCAACCAGAAATACAGATAACCTGACTTTTGTCAAAATCCATGTGCTTTAATATGTAAAATGTTTGTGCATTAAAGGGTATAATCATGGGCAGTGGATATATATTCCAAAAATTGGAGATAAACTATTTGATCAGTGAGTAAAACTTAGAATGACTGAAGGATTTCTGAAACTCAAAATGAAAAGTAAAACACGGGGATTGACAAAGGAATTACATAAACATTTTCCCAGAGAGAATATGCAAAATAGATACTCAGCATGATTAATAAAAATCACAAAGAGATATCAATACCATTATACTACCTACTAAATACTTTGATTAGGGATAAAAGACTGAAAAGCATTGGAGAACTTTTGGAGAAATTCATAGGTTTTCATAATACTGGTGAAAATGTAAAATGTTACATAGTTGTGGGAAATACCATGACAGTTCCTCAAAAAAAATAATTGTAACCTCTATACTATATGACTAAGCAGTTCTGGCACTAGGTTTCAGACTCAAAGAAGTAGAGTGTACTTAAATGCCAGTGTTTATAATTCATTGTGTTTATTTAGCCACTTCTCTATAGAAAAGGAAAGGAAGGAAGGTAGTTACTTTGAATATTGAGTACAAAATTGCTTTATTTTTAAAGGATTTCTTTCTTTCTTTTTTTTTTTTTTTAGCGGGAGGTTTGGTTTTTTTGAAACACGGTTTGTCTGTGTAGTCCTGGTTGGCCTGCAACTCATTCTATAGACCAGGCTGGCTTTGAACTCACAGAGATCCACTTGGCCTCTGCCTCCTGAGTACTGAGATTAAAGGCTTGTGCCACCACCCAGTTTAAGGATTTTATGTTTTTAAGTTACTGAAACTTAAAAACTTAAAGAACTTGCAAATAAAAAACATCATGCATCGATGGGCGTTGATGGCACACGCCTTTAATCCCAGCACTCGGGAGGCAGAGGCAGGTGGATCTCTGTGAGTTCGAGACCAGCCTGGTCTACAAGAGCTAGTTCCAGGACAGCCTCCAAAGCCACAGAAAAACCCTGCCTCAAAAAACAAAAACAAAACAAAAAAAACCCATCATGCATCAAAATTAACCATACCCTAATCTGTATGCTTCAGTGAATTTCTGTGCAGTTAATGTACTTGTGGAGCTTTTCGTTGGGGGTCGGGGCAGGATTTGGAGAAAGAGTTCTTCTGTGTAGCCCTGGCTGTCCTAGAACTCACTTTGTAGACCAGACTGACCTGCTTCTGCCTCTCAAGGGCTGGGATTAAAGGCATGAGCCTCCACCACCTGGTGGGTTTTATACTTTTACTATCAAATAT